TTCTGATTTATAATTAAGCAGTTCCAAAGAAGAATTGCGGGAAACAACAGAATTAAATGGTGTAAGGCGTAACACAATAGACAACCCACTTATTGATCTCAACAGCAGTGAGCGGAATAATAGGGAAATCAACTTTCATAAAAATGATTTTTTTTGACTCTAGAATAAAATTCACCGAACACGTGAAGAATTCGAAGAGCTTATAGATCCCGTTACAAAACGGTTAATTACCTATCAAACAATGCACGGCTTTAGAAAGAATTCTACAACATATGATGAAAAACAGGAAGTTATCGGGTATCAAGATTTGATAAGGTGCATCCATCCTGAATGCGTAATGTATATCATGAAAAAAAAAAGACGCACTTCCTAAGAAATAGCAACACAGATCAATAACCATTCATGCTTTGTGCAAGCATGCTACTTGCAAGCGTTTTATAATTACATCTAAATTTAAAATTATGTATTCTAAATACTGATATAGAATTCAGAATATTACAGGATATTAATACAACCAAACAAATACGCGGAAAAGACCGCGTAGATGTGAAAAATAAATTAATCAATAATTATTGATTTTTCGGCAGCATATATGAAGGCTTTTCCTGAGTCCTTAGATTTATTATCTCTTGTTGATTATTTGAAGCCGTGCCACCAGCTGCAGGACAACCGGCAAAAAATCCAGATGCACCGAGTAACATGGTCTTCATACGTCTTTGCACATCACATCTTTTAAAAGCAATTTACAAAGATGTTGATGAATAATTCCCTGAGAAAAGTGATAGGATTGGTATCACCCTTAAAAGATTGCGTTGTGTTCTTTATTTGATAATCACGATATCTAAGATGTGTTTACCCTATTGAATGCATTATGGGAATACATACTGGAACAAAATAGCTACGTTAAAACGAAAGCCTATGAAGTAGTGAAGCATATTGTGAAAAAATATGGCAAAACGAATCCAGTCAAAATAGACGAGGCGAATAAGGACTATGATACAAATGAAAAAAAGGCCCTGTTTCAGGAATGTATTGATCACAAAACAATATATCAATCTAGTCCTTTTTACCAACAGGCATTTAACGACTTTGTAAAGTTGCTGAAAGAAAAGAACTTGTCTGCTAAATTTGTCGATGAATCCACGAATGTTTGCCTTTATTAATATGGTGTTACGTAAGTATGTAACATACATCGTTTTGGTGTCTCCGATCCTTACACACCATAAATATGAACATTTTGATGATCTACAAAATATACAAGCAAATCGCACCACAAAGATACCAAAGCTGACATCAGACATTCCATTATAGTTGGTAATCCTCCGATCAGAATGGATGATCACATCCAACTTATTTTTAAAAGAGACGTTGAGGAAGCGTCTGTATGTATGGCTGGAAAAAGCACAGAATTGGAAAACATGGATGCACAACAATCAGGAAATAATGTTGTTTCAGATCTTGGAGTAATACTGAACACATCTCCAATCTCCAATATGTCCATGGAAAGAATTCATGAACCTAAAGCAACATTGACTCCTGTAAACATTGGAAGGGTAGCTCCTAATAAACCTGACACTACAGAATTGGTTGGGATGCCATCTATATTGTTCGAGTCTGATTTTAAAGGGTTCTGTACTTTTATGGAAAACAAACTGATTCGTAATATTGACTATTACTCTAGACGTCGTCCCGATTTCTGTAATAATTTGAAAATAGTATACAAAGGAAAAAAAAACTATTAGAATATGTAGACATGCAGACACTGTGGGGGAGCAACTACCACAGCTGGCTATCAAATTTTCTAATAGAATACAGTCTTCACGTCATCATACTATTTACAACCAGATTACTTTGCAGTAGAAGTTCTTCATTAAAAGGGGCTTAAAGTTTGCACCTAAAGGCATAAAGATCGGTACCGTCTGGCATGCTCAGTGCTTGGAAAAGGCTCTTTGATAAATCAGTTATCCTGAGGTTGGAACTGTGGTCGTCCGCACCTAGCAAACCTCGGATAATAAACTCATCAGAACAACTGCCCCGATTCTTTATTCTTCGAAACCTTTTATACATGAATTTGTTACTTAAACTCTACACAATAGTTTTTCTCCAGTATGTACATATAAAGCGAGACAGATAGTTTTTCTCTTGGAAAGTCGGTGTCTGTTTTTTAACAAGAATTAATGCTCCTCGCGGTAGGAACGGCTATGTAGGATGCTTACTCACCAATGTTTACTTTGACCTTTCGCGAAGCACCTAGTTAAGCCAGCGCGCATCGCTGACGCGGTAGCGGTAGCAACTGTTTATAAACAACTGACCCTGGAAGTGTGCGACATTGTCACTGCTACTGTTAAGTTGTGTATTTTCTCCTATCGTATGGGGGTCTATTACTGGTTAATTTCTTACTCAGATTGATATTGGAATTTGAGGCCTTTGCACCGGTTTAAAGCCTTTGGAAGATGATGATGACGTGTAGACAGCTGCGCATTCAGTGACGGCATCACTGATCACATTTCCTCGGCACACCTTCAGCACACCTCGGGTTTGCTCGTACATCAGACCGGAGATGAGCTTGACACCACCACTTCGAGCCAGACGACGAATGGCAGGCAGGGTTACCAAAACTACAGATAATTCTGTATTTCTACAGATTTTTCAAAGGAAGCCTTAGCGTGAAACTTCAAAGGCACAAATGTCAGCTTCCACAAAACATACAAATTTGAAATTGCTACTCTCTGACACTTGACTTTCCAATCCAAAATTGTCAAAATCTGAAACGATCCTCAAAAGCAAAAAATCAAATTAATTGTGCCATAAATGATTATTTTGAATACTATCGATTGCAGAGCCTAAAACCTCGATATTATCATCAATTCTGCAAAAGGCAATATCCTTCCATCGATCTGAGTGAAAAAAGCAACATAACACGTTTCACAACGGTATATTTGTGTAAAACAAAAATCATTTAGCATTTGTTATTTAAAATCATCCCACCAAGATAATAGGATGCTGCACGCTGACGTCACGAATGAACGCGATGAACCCGCATTCATCAGTTTGACATCCAGTGGTGGTTTGTTTACCTTTGCTTGTTAGTCGATTTTTGTGGATTTGAGGTTTTAAATAAAAAGAATTAAAAGATATGATATCCGACTATGCTCGTTTGAAAAATATTCCTCTCCAAACAATCTAAAAAAAACGTTTAACATTTTTTTTAATTTTTTTTTTCTAAGTCTATGTAAACAAACCACTGCCAGGTGTCAAAAAGTTAAGTTAACCCAACTGTGCAGCTCCCTATTATGAATATTGATATAACAACCAGCCCAGTGGCAGGCGCGTAAGCAACATGTTATACCGTGACAGCGGCTCAGCACAGCAAAATTAACTATTTGAGCCCGGGACATGCTGCCTACTGTCAAACACTGCTGTTGGTATAGGACTTGTCATTGGCCTGATAACAACAGAACAGACGATAATGAATACGCATCTTTGAATGAACAAAAACAATTCAGTGCCAACATTTCAAAGGGGCGTAATTGCTTTTGTAAACAATGACTTTAGCCATCAATTTCTCGCGAATGAAATCTTACCTCTTCAAAATAACAATGCTAGCTGGTAGAGGAAACATTCCTCTACCTGCTGGTGTCATTATTTTTCATGAGTGAGCTTTTATTCGCGAGAAATCGATGGCTAAAGCCATTGTTTACAAATGCAATTACGCCCCTTTGAAATGTTGGCACTGAATTGTTGACTTCGAAACTCAGTGGTTGCCTTGATCAAAAGCATGTAAGGGAGAACAGCACGCCCATGATGCACCCCAGGGGTAAAATGCCCACTTATAGAAAAACAACGATAACTTTTCTTTAGATGCATTTTCCGGGTAACGGATTGTGTTTTTTTTTCAACTGGAGGTTTCACAAATAATTCTTGATAATAAAATCATAAATTGACGTACTGATTTCTTTAAAAAATTGCATTTTGTGTAAAACATGACACAGTTATTAAAATCATCGACTGCAAATTAAGCTTTTAACAGCATATATCGCAAAAGAATGGAACGAATTCACTTTTTGTATATTTTATAGATGTTTTACTTCATGAATCGTAATTTAACACTCTATTGAGACCAAATTTGTGATGTAAACTGAAGGAATATTCATTTGAAATACCTCATGCTTTTGCATTCTCTACTTGCAGGGGTATGTCTACCATGCGGTGCATTTAACGCCAATTTTGCGGTGCATATTGCACCATGAATCAGGCGTCTTGCCCCGCTATCATTTTGGAACCGATTTGTATGAAAATCATGAAAAATCATCGTTTTATAGTTCGAAATCACTAGATCTTCGTAGAAAACATGGTAATGAACCATACACCATTACTTTTTTTCTTGATTTTAGCTTCCATGCGCCAGCAATTAAACGGTGCGTTTTGCACCATCCTACCCTACATTCAAATTCTTGCTGATAGTTGGTTTATCTTTCAAGGTTGCCTTCATTTTCAGCTTATTTGAGTGTGGAAGAAATGATTTTTATCAGCACTGCTGCCTACATTGCTTGATTCTATCAAGCACGTGCTATGCATTGCGCAGACGCTTGATTGTTCATGCAATCACCTCTCCTAACGCGACATCTCTCGCTACCTAGTGCCATACGACTGAACTTGGTACCGTGAAAGCTCTATAAATTACACAGCACACTTCAAATGCTGTGAAAAGCTTCCCGCCCGTTCAGTTGTAGACTGTCCATATCCAGTTGTTTACGTTTGATTATTCTAGGATGCATCAAGTGCATTTACGTTTTATTCAAATGTGCCAGGTCGCATGCTGATAACAGCTTCTTTTGGCCTAGCCATTATCATTCTCCCACACATGCAAGCATGAATGGACACAACCGTCGTCGCTGAAAATCACCATCTGATAAAGGTTTTGTCCATGGCTCCGTGCGGCGTACTGATAGCTGCTATCAGTAGTTGGAGCTTTCCGTTGCGCGTATTACATACGTTTATTGAAAAAAAAAAACGTTTGTCAAATTTTTGCACACAAGAACGATGACCGTGGTGCGCAAAAGACGGATTTCGGGAAACGGGTGTTGTTATTTGCTATTTGCTTTGAGATAATCCTTGACGGGTAACACGTGCCATGAGTGTTGGATACAGAAATCCAAGTGAAGTGTTAGATTTGAGTGAACAAAATGGGAAAACAATCAAGATGGAAGAAAAGGCATCGTTTTTCCACAGAGCAGGTCAGTGTCAATGCGGAAGCGAAAAACATTCCCTATCGGCGATGATGCAATTGTGAAACAAAGTGGTGCTTGAAAAGTGAATCGAATGAAATCAATCAATTTTCAACTTCCTACTTTCAGCAAGTGCAAAGCATTTCAGTGTGCGAAAGTTAGTGCACCAATTTGAGTCCCGCGCTAGTGATCGCTTCGAGCGTATCAGTGGAAGATTCTCGTCCAAGGGCTGGAAAGCTAAGCACGCCAAGAGAGATGCTGAAGCAAATAGGGCAGGGTACACTAGCACCACGGCAGCGGAGCAACAGGATTTGTCGAAGGCATTGTGGTACCTGCCGAGTGATAAGATAACTGAAGATAACGAAGCATGGTAATGGTCAAGATATTATTTTGGTTCACACAAAACCAAGTGCGCAAGACAACGTTTTTGTTTATAGTGATTGTTTTCCAGTGTTTATTTTAGGAAAAAATGACCGTAGCTATCATTTTGGTGTCTGTTAAATGATTCAGCATCCATAACAAAATATGTAGGGCAACTTATAGTACTACAATTATGGCGAAGATTCCGGAAAATTTAAATCATGTGTCGAACTTGGAGTCATTACGCATCCTCGATGATCATGCTTCAAAAATATCTAGTAAATATTCACCAATCTTAGAGAATTATCGACAGTTATGTTGCCTTCTGGGTGGATACAAATCAAATTATCCTTGCATTCGTATCGACATAGCCGTGTAGTAGTCTTATTTTGCAAAAAGGCGAATTAACGGGTTTGTTGGTTACTTGGATATACTGCCGGGGTATGATATGCTAAAGTGACGTAGATTTCATAGTGAGTTTTCAATTCTAACCATTCATTCGTACTGATTATGGCGCTGATGGAATGGAAGTAATTGATCCTGGTCCAGGGTTTATAAATATACCCAAACAATGAGTAATCCGTACAAGTAGAGTAAACATATACCTATTAGATTTACGGAAATTTAAGTACACTTTCCAAGTAACAATTTTGGTTTTATGAAGGTTCTGTAGACCATGATTTAGACTTGTAGCATGCTTTAAAACCACTATAAAACTTGAAATGTTACTTGGGTTAGTTCGTAAATTCAATTGATTCAGAAATTAATAACAAACTTACAAACTTATACTATCAATATAAGTTTTCCTGGCTGTTTCAATGTATGCCTCCTTACTAGAAATACTCAGAAGGAGAGATGGGCGGAGAATACAAAATACAATTCGGCAGCAGGGATTTGTACCAAAAATTATCTTGCAACCCTTGCTAGAAGCTAGAATTTCACATGACTTTTACTTTTGATTCGATTTACGTGCAACATAATAATTGAGTTAACCAACTAAGATCAATTAATCAAAAGAGCTAGAATATTGTTTTTGATTAAAAAAAAGTTGGAGGGTGGTGTACAAGACACAACCGCATTGTTGACGTAGGACTACGAAATTTTTACGGTTCGGACGTTTTTGAAGATGTCGCGCAGCAGGAGAATGCATACGATGAGGGTTTCTCAGTTAATGAAAGTGAAACGGAAAAAAAATTAACCCACCGATAAGATAGAACATAATTTATTTCCCTAACAAATTATTTGGTTTTTGAATCATTTTGATGTATTTAGTGACAAATTGAATGGGTGAACCATGGGTTACTCTATATAAATTCTATTCTAACTCTTTACTGAAATGAACTTGGTGGCCCTGAAAAGGGTCGTTTTGTTACGTTGGTGATAAGTTGTAACCTCCGAAACCGTACAGAGTGCGTCCCTGTCGCTTCAGAGCGTAGACGTCATCCATGGCCGTGACGGTTTTGCGCTTAGCGTGACACAACCACGTCGAGCCAGACGACGGATGGCAGGCTTCGGAAAACCCTGGATGTTTTCACGCAGAACCTTCCGATTACGCTTGGTGCCTCCATTTCCAAGCCTTTGCTTCCCTTTGCTTACTTGATGCTTGTTTGTCGTTGAACGGGTGAATCGAAACTAAGCTTAAAGCGTAGATAGCAACCTCTTGTATAGACAACCAGCTCTGCCGGTACCATATTTTCTCGCTTCTCATTGGCTATATAATATAGCCAATGGGAAGCGAGAAAATATGGTACCGGCAGAGTTGGTTGTCTACACGCCAAGCGCAAAACCGTCACGGCCATGGATGTCGTCTACGCTTTGAAGCGACAGGGACGCATTCTGTACGGTTTTGGAGGTTAAAACTTATCACCAATGTAACAAAACGGGCCTTTTCAGGGCCACCAAGTTCATTTCAGAAAAGAGTTAGATAGAATTTATATAGAGTATCCCCTGCTTCCAAGTTTGGTAACAAGATTACAACTCTAGAGAGCAGCGGCGCCCGTGGTGTAGTGGTAAGCGTCCCAGCAAGCCTGGGTTCAATCCCAGTCAACGCTGCCGGGAAGTTCTGAGGCATAACATCTCTGATCACGCCTTCCTTCGGGGTTCCCGGTTCATGAGTTGATGGGTCGATAGGTAGGGTCCAGGTGTGGGCATGCACAGTTGTACACACCAACTGCTCATTTGCTAATAACTTTTCACTCAGATGTTGAAATTTATTTTTCTTTTAAGTAATTGATAGATTAGGCTATAGATATGCAAAGATTAGGTAAAGCTTAACATTTGAGTTGGTTGGAAATGCTAACATGAAGCTTTAGTGTGATAATTTATTAGCTAGAGAATGATCTTTTAGAAGAGAGTAGGTGGATAGTTCCGCTAGAGTACGGCAGTATGAAAATTGAATAGAAGTTGAAAATGAGCGAAGGGCCATTAATGCGACAATTTTTGAAGATAGACGCACATCTTTTGCCTAACCCGTACGATGTACGCGGAGACTTGAAGTATGTCTCCAAGTCTACAGGCAAAAAATGTGCGTCCCTCTTTTGCTCATAAACTGACTGCGGCTGTGGAATAGTTCTAGCGACGTTTTCATCACTACCTAAAGCCCCACGTTGTGAGAGCATTTCCAGTCGATGGTGTGTTATAATGCAATTCTTCTTTACCCAACTATTGTCTTGCTCCTCTCGTCATGACCAACATGATCATCTCAGAGAGAAAGCAGTGATGAAAACGCTAAAGCTTCATGTTAGCATTTCCAACCAACTCTGAAAATCGCTAACTTCGCGTATGAATTAACATAAAAACACTTTGAATGTTAACATTTGAATCAACACTAATCAATTTAACACTTAAATTCCGAGATGTGTAGTGAGCATTTCTCACCTCATTGTTACAACGCAAAAACAAATACAGTTTTCTACTAGCATTATAATCTACTTTATTTTACATATCTATAATAAGCTTACACTCTATTATATAACACTGCTTCAAAAAGAACTATGTTCCGTTTACTGTGTGCAAAGTTATTAGCAAATGAGCAGTTCGTGACCAAAACTGTGTATGCCAAGTATGGGTGTGGGTAGCATTGGTGCATGGAATACAAATCCAAGGAAAAAACAGCATTTTGTGTGGTCGTTGGGGGCGTGTGGTTCTGAATTGGCAACTAAATGTTCCGCAATTGTATCCTCCATAGTTGTACACGCCCGAACATCGGAGGCGAATGTCACTTAGACTTGTTTCATCTAGAAACCATTCTCTGATGACTGTGTTGGGGAAGCAGCACATGCAGGTACGTAATTGGTGGATTTGTTAGTTATTTCTAAGTTTTTGGACAATGCTTGACATTTGCCACTTTTTCAATAGTTTCAGTTTGAAAATTAACAGTCAAAAGCATTGTTATCGATGCGTAGAAATGTTTCTAATCGATTGGTGATAAAATAATTGAAATTGGTCCAGGGGCAGCTAAGTTATTAACGTTTAAAATCTTTCATAATTTCATTTTTCGCTTTTCATAAATTGTACCCCCATCTTCACGAAAGACGTAGTCCTACGTCAAAAAACTAGTTGAATTTGAGAAGCACACGAAACATAAAGGTGATTGAATTTCTGTTCGATTGCAATACTATCTAAATTAATCTAGTAAGAATAAGAAATCATCAGAAACATTCTAATGGGAATGTTAGATTGGCTCAGATTTTGACTGTTGATTTGGCTCAAAACATGCTCTCCGCCTATCTCTCCCTCTGAGTATTACTACTCATTACCACGTCTGACAGTTCCTTCTGTCTCTCTTTTGACACTCGTTGTCAAACCGACAGATCTCACCTGCTCGCAACGTTGCTACAAAGGTAAAGATTCATTCGACACCGGGGGTTCGCGGACAATAATTATTTGGTAACTTAGAGCATTTTATGATGATGATGATGAAGATGATGATGATGATGATGATGATGATGATGATGATATGGAACTACCACTCACTGTAGCAAGAGAACTGTCGGTAGACTGTGGACTATCCTCACTGTTCGACTTGATCAAGCTTAGTAGCCTTTAATTGTACACAACCTGTCATTGTATGAAGGGCCGAATCCGTGGTGAAGAGTGAATCCGTGAGCAAAATCACCCACGTGCATCCATGGGATAAATAAGAATCTCTTTGCAACAACAGAATCATACAACCGGTTAAAACCAGGCCATCCAACAGGAGGATGCCCCAATGAGTGGGGAGAAGAGCCAGCCCTATATTCACGAAATGTTAAAGACAGTGAGTTGGCATTTCAACTCTCCCTATCCATTTCGTTTCAATCGGGTGGACCCTCCATATAATAATGAAATGAACGTTAAGAGAAAAATAAAGGAAAGATCTCACTCGATCTGTTGCAAAGGAATCCATGACATCACGACGATTTCGAAGAGCTCCTATAGATATGCTGCCGCTACATCTTTAACCGATGTTAAAAATAGCACTCTCGCCTTTCGTTCCTCGCAGCAGTGTAAACCTCCATAAACCACTAAACACACTTTAGCTGCTCGAACTAGAGAGATGTCAGCAGAGAAAAAAAGACTGTATCCACTTTCCATCACCAATCACTCACAGGCTTCAAAATTATCCGGATTGGCATAGTTATCCGGTTAGACCTATCCAGTGGATAGAAATAAACGGAGTCTATCTCTATCCAAGCTAAAGTTTTATTTTGGATATCATCTATTACTTTTCTATCCGGATAGTATCCGGAGTACCTACTCTGAACAGTTTTTGTTTAGAATAGGGATGTTTTATATAGAATATGTACCCATCAATTTGGGTATTTTTGGAATCGGGCTGATGTCTAGAGTCCGGAAATTGATATCCGACGCCATTTTGAAATCCAAGATGGCGGCTTCCGGTTTCATGAAAAGTGAGAAATACTGTCAAATATCTATCAATGTTGGTATGTTTGGAATCGGAGTGATGTCTAGAGGCCGGAAATTGATATACGACGCATTTTTTAAATCCCAGATGGTGGCTTTCACCTT